GGTGCCCGCACCCAAGACAGTGCCCTCAGCCACGGTCAGCAGGGGCCGAGGGGTGGGGCTCAGACCAGGGCAGAGGCTCGGGGACCCCAGGGCCACGCGCCTTGTCTCTCGTCTGCTCCCACCCTCGTCCCTCGCCGGGCTCCCCCTGCCTTTCCTCGCGCCCTCTGACGAGGGTGAGGCCCCGTCTCGTTTGCCAGCTGTGCATCTTCAGTTTGGCTGAAGGTCATCATCATCGTCATGTGACGCGTGTGGACCTGAGGAAAGAGACGGAGAGTTTCTACGCCAGGCGGCCAGGTGATGCCCCTGACCTCTCACCTCTGACCCCTGATGTGAGGCAGGAGGGGCCGCAGCAGGGTCAGGTCCTGACCTCAGACCTCTGCAGGAACCACAGATCTGAGGGGGGGGGTAGGGGGAGGGTCTAGTGAACGCTCCGCTCCTCCTGTGGGTGGTTGTCATGGCGATGAGGGTCCAGGGTGAACGCCTTCCGGCCGCCATGGGTTTTCCTCGCTCAGCAGACTGTGCCTCGCTCAGATCCGGGTTCCACCTGGATGGGCCCCGCCCGCCCTGTTGCATATCACCTGTCCCCCCGCCCAGGGCACACTGTCCCACTGCTCTAGCCTCCTCGGTCTGTCAGAGGAGCTGCCTGTCCGGGACTGGTTCTGCCTGTAGTCGGGCAGGGCCTCCTGCGGGACTGCTGTCCGAGGCTCCGAGCGCAGGCCCCCCTCCGCGGCACGCCGAGGGCAGCATAGGCCCAGTTTGCGTTTCTTGCTTTTTCCTGGATGACTCTAGCCATTCCTCTTAAAATGGCCAGAAATTGCCTTTTCCCAACGTGTCTACCTTTTCGAATGCTTTACGTCTTGGCTGTCGTGATTTCTTCTGTCAGAGCCCATTTATCCTGAAGCAAAGCTCAAACCACTGTAACCCACGGCGACCGTGCCCTCCCTCCCTCTGTGGCCTGAACTGGACGCCCGCGCCCTGCGGCCTCGTGATGGGGCCGCTGCTTTCTCGTGTCCCCTATGAGGAAGCAGCCCGTGTCCCTCGGTCCCGATTGGCCCACCGGCAGCACCTGCGTCTGCGCCCCCCCCCCCCCCCTTCCCCTCCATGTGGGATTGTCCCTGGCTCTTCCAGGAGAGAGCGGGCTGGACAGAGGGGACGGGGTCGACGTGGCGCTCCCCGTCCTGAGCCTGGCGCGCTGCGACCTGCCGCCGGACCTCGGCCCCGGGCATGGATGGTGAGTGTGGTCGCGCGGCCGGGCCCCCAGGAGAAAACCTGTCCAGTCAGGTCCGTTTCTTAGGTGGTGGGAACGACACCGGGTTATTTTAGTGTTTGTGTAGCTGTCGGTGATGTTAGCTTGCGTATTTACGTCTTAAAGTTGGTCAACTTGGTCAGTTATGTTCAATGTATTTGATAAGAGAAATGGGGTTATTTTATTTTGCTCATAAAATCTAGGCAGCTCCCAGCCTGTGTGGTGAGTGAAGGGAGCCGCAATCCTAAGTCGTTCTACACTGTGTGCGTGTGTCACGCGTTTAACATGGTCCGTGATGAGCTTACTCACCGTGTTTGGTGGAAATGCTGCGGGTACTTGGCAGCACAAGGAAGCGCTGCTTAACTGGGATTAAAAGGGAGGTGGCGAGTGTGTCCACCTGCGGCACAGAGCGTGGGAGGTTCCGGGCACGACTAAGGACTCGGCCCCCAGGAGGCAGGGGCGGGGGGCGGGGGGCTGCAGCCCTGCCTGTGGCCTGGCTGGGGTGGCCCTGTCTGCCCAGACGCCCCTGCCTGGTGGCACGTGGCTGGAGGCCAAGCGGAGCAGTTGCCTGGCGGGCAGTTGAGCTGACTGTGGAGCCTGAGACCGTGGGCGCCCGTCCCAGGCAGGCAGTGATGGGAGGGTCCGGACCGCGTCTCAGGGTCCCGTTTCCCCCCAGGACAACTGGCTGGTTGCTCTGTGGTCTGGTGTTGGAGGTGAGGACGCCAGGAATGAGTCCGGGGAGCTGGGCTGTTGGAGGTGCCTGGTGACCGGGCTGTGCCTGGCTCAGTGTCCTCAGGTGCCAGAGGGAGACTGTGGGCCTGAAGGCCCTGCATCCCCACCTGGCATAGCCAGCAGGGGGCGCATCCGTCACAGAGGAACTCGCATCTGGTTGTAAACTGAAAACTAAGAAGAGGAAGCAGCAGAGCTGTGTGCCGCTCGCTGGGAGCTCTGCTGCTCTGGGTGCAGTTTCCTCCGGAGTTTGTTTCTCGCGTGCAAAGCTGCCTGCGGGCCGGAGGGCAGGAGCCTCACAGGGCCGCCTGCGCTGTCCTGCGGGGGACGTGCACTAACCTCTCGCGGCCTCGGGATGTCGCAGATCAGAGCTGAGTTGCTGGTCTCACCAGAGACTGGATTCCAAGGACACCCAAACCCTTTGACACCAGCCCAGCTGTGGGTGCTCGTAGCTTGTCGCTCAGGCGGCAGCACATTCACCTGCAGCGGGCGGAGAGGCCCCGTGCGGTCTCCACGGTTACACTGCTCACAGGAGCGTGGGTGACGCTCGGGGACGACACCGTGGAACTGAAGCTCACAAATCAGACCAGTCCTCATGTCTCTCTTTGAAGTCTTTCCCCGGAGAGGACCGGCTGTGTGTGGGTCGGAAGCTCCGCTGGACTATTCATCCTGAACCTGGCGAGCTTTGAGCTGGAGGCTGCCCTGCATTACAAGGGTGAGCGCACATTCAAACCGCCTTCGCTGTACATTTCACGTCACGTTAATGTTATCTTTGACTGCTGTTGGGGAGTAAGTTTTAGGGCAGAAAGCCCGTAAATGTTGCTTATTTCTCTTTGTGAAAATTCAGATTTTCGGAACCTCAGCATCCAGGTGGCCGGGTCGTGTGCCGTGATGAGCAGCCGTGGCAAGGTCAGTCCTCAGCGCTCCCGACCTTGGCGTCTGGGGGCGTCCATCTGTCCGTCCGTCCACGTGACTCGTGCTCCCTTTCCGCCGCGTGTGACGTGCCGGCCTTCCCATGAGGCCTTTGTGGGGAAGTTGTGAGGAGCCACGGTGCTGTGCGGACTCCCCACCGGTCAGGCAGCGCGGCTGCTGTGAGGGACGCGGGCTCCCTGCAGGGACGGCTGTGTGCACTGCAGTGGGGCCTGCTCGTCCGTGATGGCATCACAGTCACGTCTCTCATTCTGTCACCACTGCCACAGGCCTTCTGCTTACTCGCTTCCATGTTTGGGAACGAGGTCGCCGGCTTGGAGCTCGACCCGACTGCTCTGGTGAGGTCCCAGCAGCACCCCCACCTGGGAACGCAGCTCTCAGTGCTGCCCAGGTAGGTCTGCCAGGTGGGTCTGCTCAGCTGGGTCTGGCAGGTGGGTCTGGCAGGTAGGGGCTATATGTGTCCATATATCAGTTGGCAGAATTCAGAGCAAAGTTCAGTAAACTCCCACCTATACTACCCTTAAGTTTGTTTTAATATGAAACACTTGTATTTCAGGATAGAATGCAGATTATAAAACAGTGTTTTTATTAAAATACAGATTTACTTCTTGGGAAGCTAAGAATGAGCTTGAGGGTTGGTCGCTCCTCAGCTGCAGGCCACACCTGCAGGGACTGGTCTGCGACTGCCCTCAGGCCCGTGTTGTGTGGAAGCAGCTCCCACGGTGCAGTCTCTGTTTTCAGCTCCGGTGTCTCGCCGACCTCCCCTCTGTATTTCGGAGTCGCTGAGGCGACACGTGTCAAGCCGGCCGGCCACCAGCAAGCCGGTCAGTGTGACATGAAACGTGAACGTGAAAATGCAGACGTTGTAATCGTTAGTGTCGTGCTGCCTGGGGGTGGGTCTGTCCGGGTGCCTTTGTTCCTGCCCCTCCCGTGTTTCTATGCAGGGAACGTGCTAGGTTTCTTCTCCTGAACTGCGTACAACTCACAGGAACTCAGGAACTGCTGCTTCTCAGGGTCCAGCAGTGCGGGCCGTGGGCGCTGGGATATGAAGGATCATGAGATGTTTTTTCTCGTTTCTCTAACCGCCTTGCCAGCTACTCAGAGCTCCCTGCGGGACCAGCCCCTGGTCTTCCACAGCCGCGTCCGGTCCTCCGGGTACACGGCTGCACCCCAGTGAGTAGATGGCTCACAGCCGCTCCCACGGGAGCAGGGCAGTGACGGTAGCTGCGGCCTTGTGTGTCCTGAGGGCCACCCACAGGGCAGGAGATGGGAGACGGGAGACGGGCGGGCGCCGCAGTTAGAATGGGGTCGGCCCCTCACAGACGTGCAGCAGCTGCAGGGCCAGCCTGCTGAGTGCTCACTGTGCACCGGCCCCTTGGCCCCTGGGTCCTTGCCTGGCCGCAGTGGTTGACTGACCACCTGTGAGGAGGGACATAGCCTGGGGCCTGACCGCACTGTCCCCCCCAGACCGCAGCCTCGCTCTGACCACGGTGTTAAAATCGCTGTACCCAGAGCTGGGGGGCAGCAGGGCTGTTTGAGGGCCGAGTGGGAGAGGCGGGCTGGGAACTGGGGCTCGCGAGGACTTTCAGGTACAGCAGCCACGGGTCCCGGTGCTTCAGGGCCCGCGTGTCTCAGAAGCAGGCACTGCCCCTCAAATCTTGACCCATTGTCTGTCTGAACCCCATCACAAAACAGCCTGTGAGCGGGAAGCCTGGGGGCCCCGGTTGACTCGTCCCCGCTGACTCCCCTCTGCCATGCTCCCGATGCCCCCTGCAGCCACCCTCTGGGCTCCCCGCCATCCCTGCTGGGCCAGGGGCACCGCCCAGAGGCCCACCTGGTGGTGCTTGCAGTGGCCAGGCCGCTGCTCCCCTCTGTACGACGTTCCGCCTCCGGCCCCCGCCCAGCCCTCTGGCTCCTCCGCTGTGGCCTGACCACGACGGCATGACCAGCGCCGTCCGTGGAAGTACACTGCTGCCCGGTGCAGTTCGTTTCCCAGCACTGCTGGCCCGTGCTGACGCGGCTCAGAGTTCAGTCCCTCCGCGTGTGACTGCCTGGGACGCGACCGCACGTCTGCGTGGCTGTGCTTCTCGCTGTTCTCTTAAGCAGCTGAGGCCCGTCACCTTGGAAGCCGACGTGAGCGTTTCCTTCCCGCAGTGTGACCATGTTCTCGCCCAAGACCAATGTGAAGAGTGGCTGTAAGAGACCTTCGCGACGCAGGAGCACTCACACCTGGTGGGCAGCTGGCTGACCTTCTGAGTAAACTTGGTGATTTGGAGAAACCCTTTAAACAGTTCACTGACTTTTCACACAGGTGTAGACCTGTGTGTGTCTGTGTGTATGTACACATCTACACAGGCATGTGCACACACTGATGTATGTGCTTCAGTCAGAGTTAACTCTGATGTATGTACATGTGTACACAGACGTGTGCAGCATCGATGTATGTCCGTCAAAGTTAACTCTGATGTATGTACATGTGTACACAGACGTGTGCATGCACTGATGTATGTCCGTCAGTCAAAGTTAACTCTGATGTATGTACGTGTGTACACAGACGTGTGCACGTACTGATGTATGTCCCTCAGTCAAAGTTAACTCTGATATATGTACATGTGTACACAGGCATGTGCACACATTGATGTATGTGCTTCAGTCAAAGTTAACTCTGATGTATGTACGCGTGTACAAAGACGTGTGCAGCATCGATGTATGTCCGTCAAAGTTAACTCTGATGTATGTACGCGTGTACAAAGACGTGTGCAGCATCGATGTATGTCCGTCAAAGTTAACTCTGATGTATGTACGCGTGTACAAAGACGTGTGCAGCATCGATGTATGTCCGTCAAAGTTAACTCTGATGTATGTACGTGTGTACACAGACGTGTGCAGCATCGATGTATGTTTGTCAGCCCGTCCCTGGTTTCTTTTGAAAGCTGGGAAGGTGCTGATCTGCTCACGATGGAAGCAGTCAGTGTGAGGGAGACACGACCCACAGGGTCTAAACTCAGAGCAGAACCGACCTGCCCTTCCCTGAGCCGTCACGGTGTCTGCCAGGTCACTTACATGTGGTCAGTGCTTGGTGTTTGTGCTTAAACACCTGCATGGTGGCACGAAGGGATGCTAGTCTTTCGAGAGTCCTTTCGTGGTCCGGGAAGTCAGAGTTCATGTGCGTCTGCACTGTGTCTGCTGGGATGGAGTCGCACAGGAACGGGGGGTCCAGGCCGTTTATTGCCTGTCTCACCTTGAGCCCCTCCTGACCTTTGTCTTCTCTGCCTCCTTAAGTCAGCAGTGCCCTTCGGACAGCCCTCCGCCGACCCAGCTCCGCCGGCGGCTGGCTGTGGCCCAGAGCCCGGTGGCCGTGCGCTGCGTGCAGTTCTCAGGTACGGCGTGGGGAGGTGCTCACTGCCCGTGGCCCTCGTGCATAGAGTTTAAGCGACCTCTCGACCTCGCGACCTCGGTGGCCTGGAGCCACAGGGCAGTGCTGGGTTTAGACTGAGACCAGCACTCGTCCCCCGTGTGTGGGAGGAGCGGGTGCAGAGCCCGGCCGCACAGCCTGGGCTCCCGTCTGCACTCCAGGCCTGCGGAGTCGCTGTGTCCGCCTCTTCCTCACACGAGGGCCTGGGGGAAGGCTGCTCGGAGGGTCTGTGTGGGAGGAAAAGCAGCCCCTCCCCGGTTTCCTGGGGGGCGGAGGAGCCCACGGGCGAGGACCGTGTGTCCGTCGGCGCTGTCCCTCCCGCAGCCAGGCTGCTCGGCTCTGGCAGCTGTCCTGTCCCAAGGGCATGGAGACCCTCCCCAGACCCCCCTCCTGGCCACCGGCGTTTTCCTAATGAATTTGGGAGGAGAGAGGAGGCGGCTCTCCTGCAGCAGCTCCCGGTCTCATTGATCTCCGATCCTTTCAGAGTAAATGCTGGTCCCAGGCCCTGCCCTCGGTCCGCGGTGGACGGGGGCCTGGCCGGTGCTGCACCCGGGCCACCTCCTCCAGTGAGTGACCAGCCGCTGCCCGAGTACCACTGGCGGATCTGGGGTTACTGACAGCTGTGCTGAGTCCCCTTTGCTTTTCATGCAATTCCAGCCAAACACGCTGTAGGATAACTGGGGAGATTAGAGCTGGAGGTACTGTCCCCCCAGACCGCAGCCTCGCTCAGTGAACGGCACGTCTTTGTGACGTTCGACGTGCTTGCTACTGAGCGTGGGACTGTGAGGTAGGGCCCGCCATCTGAACGTCCGGGAGGAAGTCGTAGTTGATTTCTGCCTCCCCTTAGGGGAACGTGAGACGGGACTGCTTAGCAAACATGCCGCTTACACGTCTGCTGGGGCAGGCCGACGGCAGGGGCCCAGGGTGGAGCCGTGGTCCAGGGAGCTCTGGGCTCAGACCCGCATTGGCGCCTCAGCCTTGCGTCCTCAGCTCCCTGTGGACGAAGCCCAGCAGCCTCAGGGCTGGGGTTCAGCCTCAGGGGAGCCGGGACCTGCTCGTCTCGGATGCCGTCGCTTCCCGAGGGGACGATCCAGTCACCTGAACATCGTCTCTGCTCTCTCGAGCAGGAGACGGGCGCTGGCTGGCCTGTGGCCTGGCCGACCACCTGTCCCTGGTCTTCGATGCCCATCTGACTGGAGCACCTGCTGTTTTCTCAGGTAAGACGTGGCCACCCTGGTCTCCGTGAATTCACGGGTGGGTCTCTCCGGCCTGGAGTTGGTCGCTGAGGCCACTTTCGTCCCTTTGAGACAAGACCAGAGTAGAACCCGACTGGAGTCGGGGGAGGAAGCAGCGAGGTTTGACCCATTGGCCTCCGCTGAGCCTGCCCCCCACCCAGAGTGGGGTCACCTGTGGGCCCAGAGCTGCGGCCGGAGCCCAGTTACATGTGGTGACTTCCCGTGGGCGGGCGTCCCTCTGACGTGTGGCCTCGTCGGCTCTTTGCTGAGTGTGGGTGAGGGAGTCGGGGTGACCTGAGCCAGGAGAGGGAGCCGCTCGGCTGGAAAGAGGGTGCGTGTGGAGGTCCCGTAGCTGGACGGTGGGTGGGGCTGCCCTCCCCTGGGCTGTGTGGGTGGCAGCACCTGGACCCCCGGGCACCTGGACCCCCGGGCACCCAGGCACCCGGGCACCTAGGCAGTGGTGCGGAGCCTCAACTGCCATTACCAGCGACCATTGTCAGCTCAGCAGCAGCGAGATGGAAACTCCCTGAAAGGCCACCAGGGGGCAGCAGAGCCATCTTTTCTTGGGTCCTGTCAGAACTGATCAGAACCAATCAAATCAGACCTCTCTCTCCCTGGTCCCCTGGTCCGGCCCCCCGACCGTCTCCTTTAGGTCATGATGGGGCAGTGAGCGCCCTGGGCTGGAGCCACGACGCCCGGTGGCTGCTGTCGGCCTCCCTGGACGGGACCCTGAGGGTGTGGTCGGCCCGCAGCCGGGAGCCCGCCCTGTGCCTGGTAAGGGGTGATTCCTGGCGGTTTCGGTGGCCAGCCCTGCCACCTCGAGGTCAGGGAGGCCCAGTGGGGCAGGCAGACCCTTCTCCACGCCAGGAGGTGGGAAACGAGGAAACCAGGAGTTTGCTCAGGCACTGAAGTTAGTGACCGAGCTGTTCTTACACACGATGGGCACACGTGTAACACACACACACACGCAGTGAGACATGCCTTGCGTTTGTTAAGGTCTCAAGATGGCAAAGCTGTTAACACTGAAACACTGGGGACTTTAGATGTGTGCTCGGTGTGCAGGGGTGTGTGTGTGTGTGTGTGTGTGTGTGTGTGTGCTTGGGGGTGGGGGGGGGGGGGGGGGGGCAGTGACAGCGGCCCAGGGCCTGGAAGTGGAGCAAGTGCCTTTTGGGGAGAAAACATCTTGTTTCAGTGAATCCGCAGGTCGTTCGGAAGCGGAACGGTAGGACAAGAGGGGAGAGTGACAACAGGACACGAGAGCCGTGCACTGCCAGCCTGCAAGGCTCATTGCAGGAAAGGGCGGCGCCAGGAGGCCTGGGGGGAAGGGGGGGCACAGGCCCGGTGCGGGCTCCGGGGTCGGGCAGTGTCACGGCCACGTGTGGGCTGTGCAATGTGAGCATGGGCCCCTCACAACTACATTTTAAAACCTGTGTAAGGTTTTGGCTTTAACAAAATCCTTGATACTTAATATCTTTGCTGCCAAGTTTTATGTCTTTTGTTTTAAAGTTTTCAATGGCCAGACCTCAAAACGCTCATGACAGGAAAATCTAGTCATATAATATCTTTTAGAAGAAGGGGGGAAGAGACAAACATCGTGAATTGGTTGAGCAGAGACTGTTTAGCATTTAGAACAGGTGGGCGTCAGGTGTAAAGATGGAAGAATGCCGGTTAGAGTAGCGGCGTTTATCCCAGTGGGATAAGCATGAGGGTAGCATGTGGGTAGCGTGCGGGTAGCATGAGGGTAGCGTGAGGGCAGCATGAGGGTAGCGTGTGGGTGACGGCCGTGACGTGCTTACAGGGCACAGACGTGTTCCCGGAGCCTGTGCACCATGCGCAGTTCTACTACCTCGATTCATTCGTGCTCGTGTCCTCAGGCCCCGAGTTCCAGCTGCTCAGGCACCACCTGGACACCCGCAAAGATGAGATCAAAAGGTGGGCCGGGCGGCCCGTCCGGAGCCACGTCTCCTGTGGTGGGAGGAAGCGTGTTTCAGCGATCGGTGACGTGTGAGGCAGTGTCTACATTTAAACATAGTTTTCATCCAAACTGTGGGGGCCTCACGTTACCGCGGGGTGTGTGTGTGTGTGTGTGGGTCGGGGGGGGCGCGGGGGCTGCCTCCTGCTTCCACGCCCGTCCTGAGCCTCATTCCCAAGCCTAGGACTCCGCCCACTTTGCCCTGGAGTCTGAGCTGCCCCTGTGGCCCCCCAGGCCTCCATGCCTGGCTCTGCATGTCCTGGCCCAGACCCCACCCTGCACTCACCTGCCGTCGAAGGTGCGGGCTGATGGCCTGCCTCGTCCTCACTGAGCCCCCAGCAGCTTTGCCCCGTCACCTGCTGTACCTGCCAGTGCCCCAGGCCTCCCCCACCTGGGCCAGGCTGGCCACCGTGACTCAGCCACGCTTCCCTGGGACTGTGCTCTGTGCCGTCCTCGCCACGGCTGAGACACGCGTGTGAAACTCTAGGGAACATCAAGCTGTTGTGTGTGATGGGAGCACGGTCACTGGTACCGTGGGTGCCTCCGAGGCCTGCGGTTACCGTAGGATTGGGAGCCAATGTGCTTTCTCGCGGACGGCAGTGCCGTGTTTGTGGCTGAGATGGCGGTAGTTTTCATGAAGTCGTAAAGTCAGTCAGGTGGCTGGCTCACATTCCCTCGTCCTAAAACGTGATTATATGAGGGGATGTGAACACTTCTTACATGTCCAGCGTTTCACAGGTAGGACGCTTAGTTGTGGAGGGAAACAGAGACACTGGCATCTTGTCTGTTCCAGATACAAACAGAGGAGCCGGTGCACCCGCGTGTTCCGGCTCCCCACGACGGGGGCCGCGGAGATCACCGGCCTGTCGGCCGCCAACGAGTTTTATTCCCGTATCCTTTCTCCTGTCCCGAGGGCTGCGGCCGGAGCCCGGCCTCCGCACACAGCTGAGCGTCTCAGCTCCGCCCCGCGTGGCACTGCGGAGCCCAGACCCCGGTTAACTGATTCTGAACAATGTGACAGCTCGTCTCAGCAGTGAGGGGCCTACGGGATAGAAACGGACGTGGCAGCGCCTCTGACCAGCAGCGGCACACGCGGTGTCGGCTCCGCGTCTGGGACCGCGTGGCTTCGTGCAGGGCCAGACCCACCCCAGGGGCCTCGAAACAGCTGCAGTTCAGGGGGACATAACACAGAGCCCAAAGCTTTCCTTATTTAGTCTTTAGGGCTAACATCAGCCCTTTTCATTAAAAAGCATCCATTTAAAATTACTTGGAGGCAAAAATCAAAATCTTCAGGAATCTATTTTGTAACATTTTAATTTACTCAGAGGCCCCATTTAATTCTTTTGAAGAGTTCTGTAGTTGAAATTTCATAAGGACTGGTCTTTGGTATTAGAAGGTTCTAGAATATTCTGTTAATATGCGTTATTTTTAGTCTAGAACCTTTTGCTAAAAACAGAACAAACAGCCTCCTGCAGAAGTGTGCTGTTGGCCTGCGGTTCCCACGTGAAGGTTCTGCTCTGCTGTCCGCGTGGGGCCCATGATCAAACCCCGTGCCCTCTCTCCGATGTGCACGTCTCAGGACTTGGGTAGATTTTCCTGCCGTTCTGGCTAAGCACTGGCAGTTGGGTAGTTCATAGGGTCACGTGACCCCTCAGAGCCCACGGAGTTGGTCACACTCACCTGTGATGTGTCCCGGACATGTCCACGGGGCCACTGCCCAGCCTCAGACTGGCTCCGAGCCAGCCCCTCCTCCTGCACACGCAGCCGCGCAGCTGAGCGTCTCCGATTGGAGTATTTCCCAGGCGCCTCGACCCTCATTTATCTCATGGTGGAACTTGGTCTTTCACCTCGAAATCTGCTCTGCCCGGGCCTCCCCTTTGTCCTCAGCCCCCCACCCCCGCTTAGAGAGGCGGGGCCCGCGTGGGGAGCGGGCTGAGACCCCACCTCTGTGGACGTAGGCGTTCCCTAACGGAGCCCAGACCTGGTGCTGGCCGCCAGCCGGAGCAGGACAGTGGAAGTTTTCGACCTCAACGCGGGCCGCAGCGCCGCTGTGATCCAGGGCGTCCATTCCCGGCCCCCCCACCAGATCTGCCAGAACCAGGTGAGTGAGGTGGGCCTGCACGTCGTCTGTGAAACGCCACGTCCAAGGCTGTCACCGATGCAACTGTGAAATGCACTTTCATGTCTCCCTCCAAATCCAAGGCGAGCTCCTGTCGATCAGGAAGTCGCTCTGAGCCTGGATGTGGGGCGCTGGAGGCATTTTCATGTCATCAGGGGTGAATATTGGTGCGTTGGGCTGTGATGGTTGCACGGGCCTCTTTGGAAGCCTGGGGAGGGTCAGGCAGCCCTGACGGTGGAGTGACGGCCGTGCAGGCCCCGCAGGAGCGCGGGGCAGCCACCGGGCCAGCAGCTCCTACCAGGACCGGCTGGTGGTTTTGACACGCCCACAGCAGGGCTCCGGCTCGCGGGGGAGCCGGCCTTCAGGTGGAGGCCTGTTGCACAGTCCGCTCAAAGGACACATTGTTACTCAGAGCAGCGCCGGGAGCCTGGCGCCAACTCCGCCTGGACTGCAGCCGCAGTTCTGCCTCTGGTGCATCTGGCGTGTTCCAGGTTGGGCCGAATGAATGTATAACCCGAAGTCCGGCCGTGACCCTGGGAACCGCCCCGTGTTTGTGCGTGAAGTCTGTGCGGGTCACAGGCTGTCATCCAGGCGTTGGTGCCTTGTCTGGGTCCCTGCACAGCACATCTGAGAGCTGGTGTGAGCGGGAGGGCGCTCCCTCGGCTGCTGCCCTGGCTGGATGGCGCTGAGGGCTCGGGCCACAGGGAGGTTTTCCCGGGCGCAGTGACCGGGCCAGAGGCAGGGCCTCAGTGACCAGCGCGCAGGGGACGCATGCGGACGTCCCCGAGTCCTCACCAGGCGCTAGGGCCTGTGGTCGCAGATCGTCGAACACGGATGGTGACCTGTGCTCTAAAGCGCACCCTGGAGAGCTAGTACCTCAGTCCTGCGACCTTTCTCCCGGGCTTTCCAGAGCGGGACACGCACGTCGCTAAGCTTAAGGTCAGAGTGCACCGCTGGGGACTGTCCACAGGGAGCTTTGGAGTCCAATAAGAAATTGTAAGTAAGGACAAAGCTGCGGACTTCTGGTGATGACCTTGGCTGCGACCTTGTCGGCTGTCGGCAGCGTGATGGTGACCAGCTCCGTCTCGAGATGCACCTGCTCTCCCCTTGCACCATAGGGATCGTCATTCACGACCCAGCCACCTCAGGACTATAACCTTTTTGCAACCATCGCCGTGGGCGACGGGGCCCGGCTGTGGGACCTGAGAACCCTGAGGTGAGGCCGTCGTTCTGTGCAGGGGCAGGTGTGCGGGGGGTAGATGGCGGG